TCGCACCCAGGCCAGGTGTCGGCGCCTGGGAAGCAGCCAAGCGGAAACCCGAACCCGGCACCCCTGTCCGCGGCCAGGCTGGCCGTCCCCAGAGACAGCACCCTGGTCCCCAGCCCCTCCCGGGGCGATCTGTCCCAGATCCGGGCGGGGGCCAGCCCTGGGGGGCCTGCAACCACTTCCGGGGTTGGGGGGAGGGTGGGAGAGGCCGCGGGGGGGGAGGGCCTGGCAGGCCTTGTCCCCTGTTTGCGTGAGGGGCCACACGCTCAGCACCCAAGCGGAGGGGTGACCTCGGATCCCCGCCCCCTGCCTGCTCAGATGCCGTGAGATCTGGGTCAGGAGGGGGGCCGGGGGCAGCGGGGTGCCTGGTGTGGGCTTACCGCTCTCACGCCGCCTCCCGCCAGCACTCGGGCCAGACTGTCCCGGGGGGTGACCACGACGGGCCAGCTTGCCCGCTGCCTGCCAGGCCCGTGCCCAGCTGCGGTCCCCACCTGGGCCCTGCACTCACTGCCCCTGCGCTGGCCACGTGCGTCCCTGCCTCTGAGACCCCCGCCCGGCTGGGGCTTGCCTGGGAAGCCCCTCCCGAGCACACGGCTCGGGGCCTGCCCCCCAGCCGTCACTGCCCGTGACAGGGGCTCCCAGGAGAGGCAGCCCCTCATCGGGGTCCCAGGCATGGGGCATGGGTTCTGAGCCCCATGAGTGAGGGGAATGGGTGTTGGGCCCCCAGAACAGAGTGAGGTGGGCATGGGGAGGGGGCCAAGAGGCTCGTCTCCCTGGAGCCCCCAGGCTCCCTGGCCTTCAGCTGGTCCCTGTCCTCGGAGCGGGCTGTCCGGTCCAGGCAGCCCACGGGGCTGGGCCCGTCCTTGGGAATGCTCTCGGCTCGCCCTGCGTCCTCAGCCTTGATGCTGACTGCTGGGTCCCACTGCCTTCCTGGGCATTTGGGCAGCATGTGGGGGTCTTCGCTGCCCCCAACCCCACAGCCGACAAGTGGACGGCCCAGCCCTGCCCTCCGCCCTAGGGCTCTCTCGTCCTGCTCTCCGCCCCCAAACGTCCCCTCCAGCCCCGGGCAGACCCCCGCCAGTGGCTTTCGGAACGCTGGCTTCCAGCTTGACCCCAGGTCTCCCCTGGGCTTAGCTGCCCCACCCACCCACCCACCCGGGGCAGCCCCATGGCCCTGAGTCCCGAGCTGTAGGTCCCGGGGGCTGTGATCCGTCACTCTGCAGGCTTGGGGGAGACCTGGGTCCCAGAAAGAGCCTGGAAGAGGGACTTTGTGGTTCCGCCTGTGGCCCAGAGCTCCAGCGTTCCCAAGAAGCCCGGCTTCCTGGGACCTTGGCCTCGGACACCAGCCCGAGCACATCAAAACCACTGGATCCTGGTTGACGAAGGTGCCTTGTGGGCCAAGTGCAAGGGGGCGAGCGGAGCTCTGTGGGCTCCGGAGGGTGGTGGTCACAGCCGGACGGGGCTGCCCAGGACCTTCTGCAGGCCACCCAGTGGGCAGCCTCTACCTTTCCCCCGTGGCGGCCCCTGGGGTCTGAGATGGGCTTCCTGGCTGCGGCCGTGACATACACATCGAGGGCAAATGCCCCCTGAGCGTGTGACCTTGGACACACGGGTCCAGCCTCACCCCGTGTCCTCTATGGTCCGGTCGACCCCAGCATCGGGGGTGTCTCCAGAGGGAGCTGATCTCTGGGGCCCAACTGGGGGCTCGGGCCTCCCCATGGCACCTGAGGGTGGTCAGCACCCCCCACTGGGAGATGGCCGCCCCAGGGGGTAGGTCCAGCTGGGGCCCTGGGGCCCTTCCCTTGGCCGTTCCAGCTCTGGAGGACACGGTCACAGAGGCTGAGGTCAAGGCTGGAGCCCAGTCAGCCTCAGCCGGGCGGACACAGCCTCATGGACGAGTGGACCCTGGGCCGACAGCCCCGGCCGGCACTGCTGCCCTTGCGCTCCGCTGGGCCGGCCGCTGACCCTGACGCCTCCTGACTCCGGCCGCCCCCGAGCGTGGACGGGCCACGTCTGTGTCTGGGCCAGGCGCTGCGGGCTCCGTGCCGGGAGGAGGTGGCCGGTGCTGGCTCAGCATTGCCGACCGCCCGGGGCGGGCAGGGCAGGGCGCCCCTCCCACCCCTCCCCACCCGCGCCGGGCCCAGGGCCCAGGCCCAGCGCGAGAGAACGCAGGCCTCCCGCCCCAGCCTGTCAGCCAGGCTTCTCCATCCGGCCACAGACACTGCCCTCAGGAAGCCCTCTGCAAAGAGGCTCTCGGGGTCCCAGCTTTGCCTGGGAGCCTCCAAGGCCCTCACGCACTGTCAGTCCTGAGTGTGAGTAGGTGTGCGGTGGGTCCTGACCCAGGAACTCCGTTCCGTTGGGCGGTTCAGGGCAAAGGGGGCGTGGGGTCAGCAGGGAGGACTCAGGCAGCCTCAAGCCAACCCGTCACCTTCTCCCTGATGCCCACAGCACATCCACTGGGCTCTGCTTTCGAGACATTCCAGAAGCTTCTCAGCCTCAGAGCCACCACCCTATCCAAGCCTCCTGCCCTCCCACTGGGACCCTCGTTCACCTCCTCCCTGGCCTGGAAGCCCCTCCGCCCCGCATAACTTTCCTGTCTCCCCCAGTGAAAAAGTCCTTACAGTTAAACCACCCCCTGCCCAGCCCCAAGCCTCAGGGTCCCCGCAGTTTCCCAGGGTCCTGCGTCAGGCGGTCAGGGCCCAGGCCGAGGGCCATGTGCTCAGTGTCCCCACTCCCCACCCCAGCTCGGCCGCTGAGAAGGTGCAGGCAGGGCGGCTGCGGGCGTGGGCGCTAGAACTTCGGTCTTTACTGCCCTCCCTGCTCCGTGTCCCCTCCGTGTGGGCCTGTGCAGCTCTCGGAGCACTTGCGGCCAGGCCTGGGGTGCGCACGCCCGGGGTCCCCCCGGCAGCCTCCGCGCTGGCCGCGTGCTCCACCCCCAGGGGCCCCCCGGCCTGGACCACTCCCCCCACAACACACTCTAGACTTTCCTCAAACACAACTTCATTTCCATTTGTGCCATTGATTGTCTGAGCGGACAAAGGCCTCTTTCAGGGACGTCAGAGGTTCAGCAAATAAATAAATGAATGAAGTCTCCGCAGAGGAAGAGGTGGTGGGAAGGGGCTGGGGGGCCAGCCGGAGCGTCCTCCGCCCTGGGAGGGAGCTGGGCTGGGGACCAGCCGGATGGCGGGAGAGCCAGGGGACACGGGGCCACCCAGCTGTGTCGGGGGCCTTGGTGCGTCTCACCCGGAGGGCTCCACAAGGGCTGGGGGCCGGCTCAGGCTGCAGACCGGGGTGTTCGGCGGTGGCACGGGTTCGTGGCCCCAGGCCTGGGTGATGGGAGTGGCAGGCCAGCTTGTGGTCTGGTATGTGCCTCCACAATCCAGATGCCAGCCTTGACTGTGTACCTTCCCAGGGTCCTTCCCAGTTTGAACCAGGAGACAACCTTAGCCCGGAGGAGTGATGCTGCCGGCGGGTCTGAGATTCATGATCTGGGGGCTCCCACGTGCCGTCCCCCACACAGCCCTAACCCTGGATGGCTCACCCTGCAAACCCAGAGCTTGGGGCACCTGTGACTGTCATCAGGATGCCGGCCAGAAGGGGGCTTGTGCTCAGAAAGCTGCTCCAACTGAGGGCATGACCCTGCACACCTCCACCCCCTGCCCTGAGCCTGATGCTCCCGGAACAGGGCCCAGGAAGAGGCCAGGCCCAGCCAGTCAGGGAGTAAGCAGTCCATGGGCGAGTCTCCCCAGGGAAAGTAGATGCCTCTGTCAGGGCCCAACCCTGGAGGGGACCCCACTCCCCCCACCCCCAGCACAGACAGAACTAGAGCTGGAGGGCAGGTAGAGAGGGCTAGAGGAGCCCAGGAGGGCTGCCTGGAGGAGCGGGCAAGGAACAGCCCTTCAGGAGAGCCGGGGGCTGGCCTGCTGGGTTGGCTGCGGCTCCAGCGCAGGCCGGGTCCAGGCCCCAGGGTAGCGCTGACTCCTGGCCATTCTGGGGACAACAATGGCCAGCATTTAAATTCCAATTGAGTCAGCCTGAGTGGCCCCGGGCGTGAGAACGGGCGCCCCCACCCCCAGCCTGGGCCCCGCCCGCCGCATTCCTGCCTCCCTGGAGATGGCCGTGGCCGGGCGTCGCCAGGGGGCCCGAACGCAGTGCTCAATGGCCGGGGACAAGGGGCCATTGAGCGGTGACGGGCGGGATTGAGCCGTCAGCGCCCTCCGCTCGGGACCCCTCCTCTGTCCCAGCCCCCTCCCAGCGCCACCATCAGCTGCCAGCATGGGCCCTGCGTACACCCTCCCGGCCCCGAGCGGGCATGGGCCTGAGGCCCCTCGACTGACCCACTGACCGCAGGGCCCCGTCTCCTCACCCCTCCCCACCACAGTCAGAGAGCGGCATCTTAATCGGATCATGTCACGGCCCCGCCCCCGGGATCGGGGATCGAAGGCCAGCTCCTCCTCTGTCCACCGGCCAGATGACCTCGGCCCCGCCCGCCCATCCTGTCCCCACCCCCTCGCTGCCTGGAGGCGCCCAGCGGGCCTGCCCTGCCGCCTGCCCACCAGCTGCCCTGCTCCTGCTCTGCGGTCTCCCCTGGGTGCGCCTCCCCGCGTCCATCACCCCTGGACCATCAGCCATGCAGGTGCTCTTTGCCCGGCGCCCATCCTGAGCCGGCCCTCGGGGTGTCCTCACACAGCCGAGGAATCCAGGTGTCCGTGCAGATGGGCCGCTGGCCACATGCCGAGGGCCCCAGAGGGGGCACAGTGTCCTCACAAATCCCTGCGGAGGGGAGGGCAAAGGAGGCATGCCTGGTTCCCACCCTGGGGAGCTGTGAGGCCCTGAGACCATCCCCTCCTCAGATCTGGGGCCCCGCCCTGGCCCCCTGCTGCCCTGAGGAGCCTCAGAGGTCAGTGTGGGCCAGGCGGCGCCTGTCAACGTCCACGTCCAGCCGGACAGGGTCACCAGGCGGGGTGCTGGTCCTCTGGGGCCGAGCTCAGCCCTTCCTCTCTTCAGGCCATGCCGGGGGCCTCGTCTTGGGCCCCCAGCGGGGAGGATGTCGGGCAGGGCGCCAGGGAACCTGAGCCCAGGAGGGGTAGTCCCAGGAGGTGGGGGTGCCCAGCAGGCACAAAGCGCTGGCGGCCCGGCCCCCGGCTGGCAAGAGCTCGGGGGCTGAAGAGAGGCTGGCGCGGGGCCCGCAGGCGGCGCGGAGCGGACACCTCCTTCCGTCCTCCTGGGAAGAGGAGCTCCCCCGCTGTGGCCTGGGGTGGGCGTGCTGCCGGGGGTCCAGAGAGAGCGGGGGTGTCCTCGGCCAGGATGGGCAGCCTGCCAGGTCTGCTGTGAATGCCAGGTGGTCACGGGGGCCTCCCTCCCCCAGACAGACAGGTGTCAGAGCACCCAGGCAAGTGAGGTGGGACGGTGCGGGGCGCGGGGTCTGGGCTTTGCGGGAACCTCCAGGGAGGTTCGGGGGGGAGGTCCCAGGCAGGCCGCCCCGCAGGCTCCAGCCACACTGACCACACGGACCACCCCACCCCCCCACCGCCCCAGGGCTCCGCAGAGAGGCCTGAGCAAGTCATCCTTACCCTCCGGGCCTGATCCAGGGCCAAAGGGCCAGAGGCAGGAAAAGAAAGCCTGCTGCTGGGGACAGCTGCCCGAGGCACCACTGGCCCTCCGCCTGCCCGGGGCATCCAGGATGCAGCCCACTCCCCCCCAGAAGCCCCTCCAAGCTGCGGCCTCTGCCCTGAGACCCTGGTCAGATCAGCCCCACCCCAGCTTGGGACCCTGCTGTGGCTGACACCCTGCTGGAAGCAAGCCCCCCGGGGTGCCTGCCCCTCCCGCACCCCAGCCGCTGGGCCCCCAGCCCGGCTCCCCATATTTCCCTGCTCGACTCGGCTCTGTCGCCCGTGGACGTCCGTGTTCAGCACGTGTGGCCGCCGTCCCCCAGCCTAGACCATCGCGGACTGTGTCCCGTGACTGTCCAGCCCTGGAGGCCGGCCTTGGTCTGTGTCCTCCCAGGAGCCCCCAGGACCGTAAGCAGCGCTGGGGTCACAGAGGCGCTGGGGGCGGCTACGGAATGGGGGAAGGCGTGCTGTCTCTCGAGTCCGGCGCTGAGGCTGCGAGCAGGGCAGGGCCGGCGCAGGAGGCCCTCAGTGTGGCCAGGGAGCCCAGGCCTGGCCCCTCGCCACCCCCGTCTCTAGGACCCCCAGGTCAGGAGCTGTCACCTCCCTCTCGCCCAGCTGTCCTCGTGGGCCCCACCGGCCCGCCTGTGGCCCTGTAGTGGGGACCCCTCGCCAACCTCGCCTTTGACAGGAGGCGCGGGGCTGGCTGGGCCAGAGGAGTGGGGTGTGCAGCCCCCGGGGCCGCCCGCCCCGCGCCCCTGCTGGCCTCCGTCTCTCGCTCCTCGTCAGGCGGGCGGCGCTGGGGAGGCGGCCAGGCCTCGGCTGTGTGCAGAGGACGGGACATGCTGGCGCTGTTCTGGGACTGCCTGCCCCGGGGGCCAGCCTGGAGGGCCTCGTCTTGGGAGACCAGCCTCCTGGTGGATCTCATCCCAGGGGACCAGCCGGGCAGACCCCTTCCTGGGGGACCAGCCTGGCGGACCTCTTCCCCGGGGACCAGACTGGTGGGCCTCCAGGAGGAGGCCCACACAGCCCCAGGCCCGTCCCTGCTCCGCGGCCCCCAGGTTGAGCCGGGCCCCTCACGGCCAACCCCTCACCCCTCCTCCCTCCCAAGCCCCAGGAGCAACTCTGCACGGCAGCCCCGTGTCCAGGCTGTGGGGCCAGAGAGGGGCTCCCTAGAGGTGAGCTGTCCTCTGGGCGCTTGCCCAGGCCGAGCGTGCACGGCTGACCCGGAGGAGCCCTGGGCGGGGAAGTGGGTGCCAGGGAGGCGAGGGGGCTGCGCTTCGGGGACAGGAAGGCCCTGCTGGGTGGCGCTGGTCTCAGAGTGCGCAAGGAGCGGCCGGCAGGAGGGTGGTCAGAGAAGGTGCCAGGAGAGCCCCCGGCCGGGTGGGGGTTCAGCCGGAAGCCCACGCTGGGCGGGACTATCCGCCTTTGGAGGAGGGACGGAGGGGTTAGGATGGGGCGGCTCTGGGAGGTGACAGGAGCCAGCAGGGCTGGGCCCGCCCGGGAGGCCCTGCCACACACCTGTCTCCCCTCACCCAGGGCCGGCTCCTTGAGCCTCAGACGATCCCGGGCACCCCTCAGCTCCTCTTTGCCTGGGGTGGGGTCCGGGCCCCAGCTGGGGGTGACCAGCGTGGCTCAGCCCTGTTCTGAGGTCACGAGGTGGCTCTCCAGTCCCTTCCGGGGCCCACCTGCAGGGCAGGGCCCTGGTCTCAGCCCTGGGAGGGGGGGAGGCCGCAGATGCCCAAGGGCTCGCCATCTTGCCAGCCACAGCAGCATCTTTCTCTCCTTGCCCTGGCTGCCAAGGAGCTCGGGATCCAGGCAAGGGCAAAAAATCTGTGCCCCATAGGCTCAGAACATGGAACAATGGACTGATTCCAAATTGGGAAGGGAGTACGTCAAGGCTGCATATTTTCACCCTGCCTATTTAACTTCTATGCAGAGCACATCATGTGAAATGCCGGGCTGGATGAATCACAAGATGGAATCAAGATTCCCGGGAGAAATATCAATAACCTCAGATATGCAGATGACACCACCCTTATGAAAAAGCAAAAGGAGCTAAAGAGCTTCTTGATGAGGGTGAAAGAGGAGAGTGAAAAAGCTGGCTTAAAGTTCAAGATTCAGAAAACTAAGATCATGGCATCTGGTCCCATCACTTCATGGCAAATAGGTGGGAAAAAAATGGAGACAGACTTTATTTTCCTGGGCTCCAAAATCACTGGGGACAGTGACTGCAGTCATGAAATTAAAAGACCCTTGCTCCTTGGAAGAAAAGCTATAACTAATCAAGACAGCATATTAAAAAGCAGAGATATTACTTTGCCAACAAAGGTCCATATAAGTCAAAGCTATGGTTTTCCCAATAGTCATGTACAGATGTGAAAGTTGGGCCATTAGGAAAACTGAGCGCTGAAGAATTGATGCTTTCGAACTGTGGTGTTGGAGAACAGTCTTGAGAGTCCCTTGAACAGCAAGGAGATCAAACCAGTCCATCCTAAAGAAAATCAACCCTGAATATCTATTGGAAGGACGGAGGCTGAAGCTGAAGCTCTGATACTTTGGCCACCTGAAGCGAAGAGCCAACTTATTGGGAAAGGCCCTGATGCAGGGAAAGATTGAAGGCGGGAGGAGAAGGGGACGACAGAGGATGAGATGGTTGGATGGCATCACCGACTCCATGGACATGAGTTTGAGTGAGCTCCGGGAGTTGGTGATGGAGAAGCCTGGCGTGCTGCTGTCCATGGGGTCACAGAGTCAGACACGGCTTAGCAACTGAGCAACAACAACAAGCGGGCTTAGGAATGTTTCTTTTTTCTCGGCCTAAATAAATCCACTGTGGAAAAGGTGTGTTTTCTCAGCAGCTTGAAGCTCAAACCTGCACTGCAGACACCCTTGGGTCCGCTTCCGCAGATGCGATTTCCTTCCGTCTCAGCCCCGATGCCTGGATGGGGACCCAAGCCCCCTGCTCCCGCAGACCCAGCAGAGCCACTGCCCCTGGACCTGCAGTCCCAGCCCTCATCAGGACTGGCCCCTGGACCCAAGGCGGGGCAGCTCTGAGTCACCCTGTGTTCTTCCAGCTGGCCAGCCCAGATCCTATCCCGTCCCCACACGATCAGCCAGGTCACATGTCTGCAAGGGTAAAGACCTGGGCCTGTCCTTGAGCCCGAGCTGCCTCCTAGGAGGAGGGGGTGCCCTCTCTGCTCCCGGGGGCTTCCAGTGGAGGCCAGCCTGGAGACCTGGGCAGAGCTGCAGTGGGTGACGCATCCTGCCCCGAGCCGGGGACACGCCTGGCGTCCCACTGGACTCGCCAAAGTCTGCCCTGCCTGGGTGCTCCCGGAGGGCAGGGCCCTGGCCGGAGGTGGGTGGCTGGGGGCTCGGTGGGCCCAGGGCCTGGCAGGTGTCCCCGGGAAGACGGCTTTGTTTGGGACACCGTCAATGGGCCGCTGTGCTCCACTAATCCTGCCCACCTGGCGGACAGACGTGGCCTCGCTGGCCGGCCCCAACTCCAGCTGGCAGCAGCTGGCCGCCGCACGTGGCCAGGAGCTGCCACTCATCCTGGGGGGCTGTGGGAGCCCGACCCGAGCAGAGAGGGAGCCCCGCACGTGGCCAGCTGTCCCCCAGGCCCTGCTCCAAGCTGCCTGGGAGGGCAGGCGGCCGGCCCCAACCCCGCAGCTGCTCTGGCCTGAGAGACTTCACCTTTCCTGGGGCTGCAGGGCCTGCTTCCTCGGGGCCAGAGGTCTCCAGTCCCAGCTCCCAATGCCAGGTTGGCAGGGGCTCAGGAGGCTCGGCCGGACCCTGTCCCCCCGGCACCTCGGGCTCCCCACCTTGAATAAGGGAACCCCCAGGAGTCCAGGACAGAGGACGGTGCCCCGGGGGGCAGCACTAGAGACCTGGGGTGGGGGTGGGTGGCGTGGGGGCACGGGGCCCAGCTGAGGTCTTTCCAGGGCCGGCCGTGGGGGGCTGCAGACAGACTCTGCTGTGGGTTTCCGGTCCCCGGGTAGGGGGCAGCTGTCTGGAGGACAGGGACTGAGACCGTGGCTGTAGCAGCAGAGACGGTGCTGCAGTTGACTAGTGAGGTCTGCCAGGGCACAGGCTGGCACACAGTGGCCTACGTGCCAGTACTGCCACCCCCGGGACAGCCCCTGACCCCTCAGCTCCAGCCCCAGGGGTCACAAACGTACATCCCAGAAACCTTGCAGCCTTTTTCCCCAGGGGCTCGGCCCAGGCCTCTGAGTCAACGACTGCTGATGGGGCCCCACCTGGTTCCAGAGGAGCCAGCTCTGGGCCCAGGGACCTCAGGCGTCTCTCACAGAGGACGGTGTGCAGGGAGTGGCCTCATGGGGAAGCCCCCCTCCACGGCGGAACTGCAGGGGGTGCAGGAAGGGACCAGGGCCAGCCCGCCCCTGGCCTGTCTGGTCACCTCGGCCTATGGCTCTTCTCCCCTTTACGGTCCTCACTTCACAAACAGGCCGAGGCCACCCCTCAGGAGCCCACAGAGCCGGGACCACCTCCCTCTGGGGCAGGGAGGGTGGGTCTGGGTAGGGGCAGAGGGCACCGTGACCTTCAGAAGCCTGTGGAAAAGCAGCAGGTGGTCACAGGCCTGGCCCCCTGCTGCTGAGGGTCATCTGGGGGTGGGAGGGCCTGAACCGAGAAGCCCCCGGGGGTGGGCCGGCCCCCGTCGAGTCTCCACCTGCCTAACGAGCTGGATTTCTGGCACTACCAGTTCTGTGAGCTCAAAGCAGACAGCGGCCTGCAATCCCTGAAGCAATTTACAAGGAGAAGCGTCTGGGCCTCGTGGTGTGTGTGCGCGTGCGCGTGCACATATGTGCAGGTAAGCACATCTTAGGGGAAGGAAGGACACTCTGAGCCCCTAGGTCTGCGAGGCCAGGTGTCCAGGGGCTCCCTGGAGTGGGTGCTCCAGAGTGACAGGGAGCTGGGGCGGCGGGGGGGGGGTGCTCCTGCCACCCACCTGTGACCCCTGGGGGGCTGCCTTGTTCTGGGGGCAGGACTAAGGGTGTCCTGGCAGTGAGGGTGGATGGGCCGGGGCTGGACAGGGTTAGGGCAGGGACGAAGTCATGGGGACCAGGGGGTGTCTGAGGCTTTCCATCAGCTCTTGGTTTTGAAGATTTATTGCTTTCTGCAACCTCAGTAGGGGGCTTCCCAGGTGGCGGTAAAGAATCTGTCTGCAATGCAAGAGACTCAGAAGACACAGGTTCGATCCCTGGGCTGGGAAGACCCCCTGGAGGAGGGCATGGCAACCCACTCCAATATTCTTGCCTGGAGAATCCCATGGACAGAGGAGCCCGGTGGGCTCCATTCCATGGGGTAGAAAAGTGTTGGACACAACTGAAGCCAGCAGCATGCACGCGCAGGCACACACACACGCACATGCACACGCACACACACACACACGCACACATGCGCACTCACACACGCACACGCACACACGCGCACACATGCACGCACACGTGTGCACACATGCACGCACACGCACACACACATGCACGCACACACACACGCACCCTCAGCATAGCCCTTCCAGTTGGCTCAGTGGTAAAGAAACCACCTGTGATGCAGGAGCCGCAGAGATGTGGGCTGGATCCCTGGGTCAGGAAGATCCCCTGGACAAGGAAATGGCAACCCGCGCCAGTATTCCTGCCTAGACAATCTCATGCAGGCTACAGTCCGCCAGGGTTGCAAAGAGCTAGACAGAATTGGACGACTACGTGCACATGCCCCAGCCTCGGTGGGCTGGATGCAGCTAGGGGGCCACCCAACTACCTGGGGGGGGGGGCTGCTTCACCCCAGCATGGAGCATGGACAGCCCATCTCCTAGCCAGCCCTGGTGAGGCCTGTCCCCCAGCCACACCTGGCCACGGGGACAGAACGTGGCCCACGGATGGCAGGGGCGTGAGCCGGGGCCCTGGACTCTTCAACCCCTGGGGTTGGGCACCTGGCCCTCAGCCGGGATGAGCAGACCCCTCCCCACCAGGATGATAAACCCTAAGCACGAAGGCCAGCCCAAGGCCTAAGCCCTGGGGCATCCTCTGAGGGCGAGCATCGCAGGAGCGACCTGTGCAAGTCAGGGCAGGGCGCCTGGGAGCAGCAGGAGGTCACAGCCACAGCACGCAGGGAGGCCTCCTGGACCTGCTGTGTGCGCCTCTGGAGCTGGCAGACAGCGTCTCTGTCCATCTGAGCTTCCCCTCCTTGGCCCCACAGGTCCACGGGGCCAGGGCCGGCCCACCTTTGTGGGCTAGTCTGGGAACTGGACTGGCTCAGAGTCTGCAAGGCCAAAGGTGGCCCTTGGCCAGGAGATGGGGGCGCCTGTGGGGATGGGGACGTCCAGATCCCTGCGCGGAAGCTGTCGGCTGGAGCGGCAGGGCACACACGCACGAGCACACACACGCACGTGTAGACACAGGTGTGGCAGGCTCGCCTGGGCCAGGCTGTGCTGGGATCTGAAGCCCCCTGCCCTCGCAGGGTGTGCGCTCAGGCGCGGTGGGGACCCTGCCCAGCCTTGCTCTGACCCAGCTTCCCAGGCCCGGCCCAGCCCTCGCTGCTCGGGTGGGTGGGCGGCCTCCGCAGCAGGAGCTCGCAGGGCTGGTCGGCAGGACAGGGAGCTGGGGCCCACAGAAGTTCGATGGGCCTCCGCTGGCTCCATGCGCTGAGGGCTCGGGCCCAGGCTGCCCCTGTGAGCTGGGAGGCCAGTGGACACACGTGCCCGCAGATGCATGGGGCGCACCCACTGGGTGTGGGGGGCTCCCCCCAGGCCACCGGGCCCACCTGCATGCTGTCGCAGTCACCCACTGTACTGCCCACACGTGGCCCTCCACTGCTGGCCAGGCGGGGCACTCCCCGGCCACGCACTCGGGGAGGCTAGTCAGGGCCTCATCGGAGACCAGGGCCCTGTGGGGCTGTGGATCTGGGCTGTGCCGGAGAGCCGGAGGGGCGTGGACGGCCTGGGAGGCATCTGGAGCGGGACTGGGGGGAGGGTCTGGCTAGGAGGAAGGACAGGAGGATGGTGGGATGGGAAGGGAGGGTGGCCAGATAAGGCTCTTTGATCTGAGCTGAGACAACCCAGACCCTCATCCTGAGATAACCTTGGCCTGGGGCACTCCGCCCCCACCCACTCTGGCTGGAGGCTGACCCTGGCCCGGTGACTGGTCCTCGGGGCAGGCGTGGCTGAAAAGTGGGGCAGGGTTGGCCTGGGCCGAGCCCTGGGGGTGCTCCCTGGAGCAGTGTGGCGAGCCTGGGGCGGCTGCCGCCCCAGAGCTTCGGGGGTGCCACCCGGCCAGGAGGCCACCCCCACCCACTTTCACCCTGAGCCCGGGGGTCCCCGGGAGGCCACTCCCTGGCTGTGGCCTGTTGGGTGGTCCGGTCTCAGCGGGGCACAGAGCAGCGTGGGCACAGGTATGGACGCGGCCCTGCGGGCAGGGGGCGGGTGTCGTTTATCTCACTCAGCCGCCCTCTGCCTGAGCAGGTCGGAGTCCCCCAGGTCTATCTGGACCACGCCCTCAGCGCCTGCAGGGCAGCCTGGGCGGACAATAAAGCTGTCAGCGGACTTGGGCTCTGGGGCAGGCAGGCAGGGGCGGGGGGCTTCGGGAGGGCCCTCAAAGATGTCTCTATTAGGGGGCCTCCGAGCACTGGGAGGGGCTGGCACAGGCAGAGGTGGCCCTCAGTCACAGCACAGGGCAGAGGCTCACCCTCCAGCAGCACCTGCCCCGCTGGCCCCTGGACTCAGCCCCCGGGGGGCTGGCCATTAGGCAGAGGAGCCCTCGGACGCTTTGGGGCCGGGGGTGGGGGGTGAGGAGGCCAGGGCATCCTCTCCCCTGGCCCTGAAAGATCTCCCTCTCGGGGGGACTGCTCAGCCTGGCTCTGAGCGAGCGCTCAGCAGACGGTGCGGGGCAGAACCCGGGGAGGCGCTCCGCGCCATTGTGCCTCAGCATACCCTTCTGTAAAATGGGGCAATGCCGGCCGCTCAGGCAGCTCTTCAGCTTAAACACGTGCCTCCCAGAGCCCATGTGCGCTGCGGCTCCTGGGGCGCCAAGCGTCCAGGGAGCGGGGCCCAGGGGTGCTCAAGGCCTGGGGGGGAACCAGAGAAGCCCCAGTTCCCTGGGGAGGGGTGTGACTACAGCAGGTTTCCCGCCCGAGCATGTTCTTGGGCAAGACCCCTCACGAACTACAGTCCCTCTCCTCAAAGCCCCAACAGCTGGGCTTGGGAAGGGGTCCCGGGGACCACCGCTCCCATTCCTCCTTCCCAGTGGCTAGTGGGGGAGATGGGAGGCCATGGGGTCTGGGGTTAGCAGAGTCCAGCTAAAGCCTTCTCACCCAGAACCCGTGGGGCCAAGCGGTCTCTCAGGGACGCCCCACACAGTGCGGGGAACACGCACCTTCCCCAAGGCCAGGAAGCCTCCCCGCAGTGGGCAGCTGCAGCTGGTCATTGTGTCCCTAGGGAGGCCCTGCCAGCTGCAACTCCATGCCTCGGGGTCCCCCTGCAGCTCCACGCCCCCAGGGTGCCCCCATCACACAGGACAGACACTGCAGCTGGTGTGAG